TCTCTGGAAAAGACAATAATGCTAGAAAAGAGGAAGACCAAATATGAGATGGATCGAGTCCCTACAGGAGGAGGTCACAGGCTTGAGTTTACAAGAGCTGAGCAGGGCTACTGAGGACAGGACATTTTGAGATCACTCACTCATAGGGTCACCATAAGTTCGAGTAACCTAATTTACTTGGTCTCAGGATTCTGAAATCCTCCCCTTCCACAAGAACAGCATACAGTACATAGTGTACAGACTTGTTTATTTTTATGTGTTTGGATTGTCCTCAGGTGTGTTGATAATGGAGTAACATAATCTGCACCTACTTTTCTGTTTCTGCCAGTTGTGTCAGATGTACAGTATATCTCCTATAATCTTGCTGCAAAAGAACAGCAGCTGCAGAAAGTCTTCAGCAAAGAATAAGCAAGAAAGTAAATGTAACCTTCCTTTGAAATGTTTTTTGACCTAAATCTATCTTGCCTACTGTGTGAATGCTTTTACTTTGTTGCATTTCTTACATGGTAACAAAGAAAACCAACACATCCCTGTTTCATTTATAATGTACGTACTGTTCTTTTCTGCCCGTCTCACCCTTCCTTTTCAAATTTCTTATTGCAGGAATAACGGGTGTAGTTCAGCTAGATCATTCTCTTCTGGAATTAAGCTTGCTGAAGGGATGTTCATGAAGCATCTCCTTAACACTTCTAAGAAAGGCAGTGATGACATGTTTTCTTCTAGAAATTATCACTAGCAGATGCATAAACTGCTGAAACATTATTTTAATATACTGTACATTACTTTTAAGTTCAACACAAGAGCCTATTTTGATTACATACTTAGTTATCGTGGTTAAATATTTTTAAGCTTGATGGTTTGTATCATTTTACAGTGGACCCTCTACTTAATGAATTAATCCGTACTGGAATGGTGGCTGCAAGTCGAAAAGTCTATAGGTCGAATCTCCATTGACCTACAATGCATTGAAAACTGATTAATCCCATAACCAGCGGTTTTTATTCTATTTTTGTTCCATTTTGAGTTTTTTCTGGTCTGTAAGTCGATTCTCCAGCTGCAAGTCGAATCTAAATTTTGCAGCCAGAGGAGTCTGTAACTCGAAAAGTCTGTAAGTCGAGCCGTCTGTAAGTCGAGGGTCCACTGTAATTGCTTCCATACTTTTACAGGCCTAATGAGCATAGCAGTCAAGCTTACCTAAAAACTACACTTCTGTCTAATTCCCTGTTGTTTGCTTGACATAGGTGTGTGTAAACCTGTGGTGGTTAGTGGTTTTAGAGATGTGCATATTTCTCAATGAAGCCTAGCATTTGTGAGATAGAATATTGCTTTTCATAATTTAGTTGTGTCTTCTATTGCATTACAGATGATCAGAGATGCATTGCTGCTAATGTGACAGCTGTATTTAGTTTTTAAAAAGTGGATGCCTAAGTGTGTGTTTGATTTAAAAACTGGATCCAGACTTTTGAGGGTCTGAAAGTGGAAGACTATGAAAGACATAGATCCTTGTTTAAGACTACACCCCTATGTATGAAAGTGTGTTGCACAGAACTGAGTTCTGAGTAAATGTGTGGAATTGGGTGAGGTTGTCAATCAATGTCAGTTGGATTTAGGCATAGGCTGCTTTATTCTTATTTTTATTTTGATGCATGATGTTTTTGTAACTTTCATGATCAGAGAGAGAGAGAGACAGAGATAGAAAATCACTGTATAGTGAATAAACCTCTTCTAGATAATTCTTGGCCATTCAGTATTGCTTGCAACCACAGTTTTAGTCCACAGTTTAATTCATTGGTTTGAGTAATATGTTCTGCAAGTGTATTTTGAGATTGTTACCATAGGTTCTCTGCTGTTGGCACTAGAGACTTAAAACCTCCTGGTTTCTGGTCAATAATGTGTACTGTACCATTCAACTGGGGTTTAATGCTGGTCTAGGGAGTAAAAATGGGATGGTGAGCCTGATGCCCCAACCACAGCCATGCACTGCCTGGATGACATAATCTAATTGCTAGCCAAAGATTTTACCAGTGCTTAGATTGGGAAATAGAGATTCTTCTCTCACTCCGTTCACTGCCTGAAAGGGAAACAGTACAGCAAGATATCTGTGAAGATTCTCAGTCATCCAGGTGTGATTATCTGAAAGTTGAGTCATGGCAACTGGACTTCATTCGTGTCAGATTGAAACTTTTTGCTACTCATCCAAGCAGCTTCTTCAGTCTGAGGAGGGTTGGTAGGAGATCCCTGATATATCCTCCACCTTGGTTTCAATTCCCCCTGGTCTGAATAGTCTCGTTAGAAGGACAGTGGGCTGGAGAGTCTCCTTCCTAGCTTAGTGCTAAGTTAAGACACTTTGAACTTGTGTGCTTTCTTTTTCTCTTTTCTCTGGTTCAGAAGAAATCTGGAAACTTTTGGTTCTGTTTTGTAATCACAGTTTAACTGTAACAAACAATGGATCATGTTAACTATAGTTTAGTGAAACAAGCTAACTTTAAACCATGTTCTAAGAAAATAACTTCTTTCACTAAGCCATTGCTAAGACTTTTGTTGTAAAGTAAACCTGTTGTTTAGATGGGGAGGGAGAGAGAATTGAAACCTGGTGTCTTGAGTACACTGATCATTCTAAGCTATGCTTGTCGTTTTCATTTCAACCATAATTGTACCTAAGCGTCCTCTCCATGCAGGGTGAGCCCAGACAGCTCCTTGGTATACTTCTGAACTGCGGGTGATGAAGTGAGAGGGGAGACGGCTGGAGCGCAGGTGGAGGAAGTCCCACTGGGAGTCCGATCAAACTCGACTTAGAGCCCATTATCGGGCCTATTTCATGGCAATACGGCTGGCGAAATGGCAGTATTTCTCCAGTCATATCGCTTCCTCAGAATGTCATCCAGCAGAACTGTTTTGGGTGGTCTGGGATTTTCTTCAAATGGGAAATCCAGTGGAGGTCCCGGACTGCTCAACAGCTCACTGTGATGAGTTAGCCATTAATTTTGAGGGGGAAATCGCTCAGATTCGCAGTGGGTTGGACTCCACCATTACTGCAAAATCAGAGGATGTGTCCAGTGTGCTGTGCTTAAGTCAAATATTAATGGATGAGTTTCAATTATTGAGACCTGAGGATGTGGACAGGCTGCCTGGATCTGTCCGTTCTACCACCACTCCGCTCGGCCCTTGCCCATCTTGGCTAATTGGAAGATCTGCCAGGGAGGTTCGCACTTGGGTCCAGGAGGCTGTGAATGCCTTTTTGAGAGAGGCAGTGGTCCCTACCTCCTTGAGAGAGGCAGCAATTCGACCACTCCTTAAAAAGCCTAACCTGGACCCAAGGTTAACTACCAACCAGTGGCGAACCTCCCTTAGTTGTGCGAAGTTTTGGAGCAGGTTGTGGCTTGGCAACTTCAGGCACTGCTGGATGAAATGTTTGAGTAAACAGCTTAGAGTAGTAAGCAGTATACAATCAGTGAATGAAAGAAAGAAAGAATCCATAGAATATGTTTTACTTGGGTACCCTTTTTCCTTTTTTATATTTTCTTTTTCCCCTTCTTTATCTTGATTAACTTCTTTATTGATGTTTAAACTTTGTTATAGTTTATATATGGTTATTTATGTTGGTAGCCGCCTAGAGTGGTCGTTTGACCAGATAGGCTGGATATAAATACAATCAATCAATCAATCAATCAATACCATAGAGGTCAGAAGAGCACGCACTATGGCTGTGTAAACATAGGAGTGACTCAAATTATAATATCTCAGTTTAATAAGTCAAGAAATGAACTAGCCTGTGCATATAAGTCCA